TACCCATTATAAATGATGCCCAAGGCCAGACGAATCCTTCAGGGTTGGAATACTTGCCTAGCATGCACAAATAATGCCCAAACTAGGATGCCTTGAAAGATCATGTCTTTATGTGTGAAGTCTGACTACATACTAGGGTCATAGCTAAAAACTTGGGAGTTTTTATTTAAAAAGTGGGTTCAAAGAGACAGAAATGAGTTATGCTCAAGAGGGCGCTATTCTAACTTTTAACACTATCTGGGACCAAGTGACTCTAAGACTCAGTCCCTCTCATGCCTGGGAGTTACCTGCACCCGAGGATTCATCCCAGGAGTCTTCAAGGTCACTGGCTTCTTGCATCTGGTCACTGATTCTCAGATGACAATCCTCATCTGATTCCTTAACTGTTTGCAAAATACGCTGATGGCAAGCTGCCTGAGTCCTTTCCGCTTTCCAAATGCTGGTTCCCTCTTCCCTTGGCTTGTCAGAGGTCACCAGATTCTGATCACAGTGCTTGGCCCAAGCAGCAGCCTCCATTAGGTTGCCTGGGTCAGTCACTATCTGATTTCGAAGAAGCTGGTCCAACGTATCATAAAATGGGCAAGGCGGTGGATCCCCCATACTTGTGGCATGGGCAACATAGGCCTTTAAATACAATGCCTTCAAAACTTTAAACTTGGAGCGGCACTGGCGCTCGGTGCGGCGAAAGCCCTCCTGCTGCATTCGCTTAGACACGGCCTGATAGACATCTGCATTGTGATGCATGGTCTGGAGGCGCTGGATGTACTCTGCTTCGCCTAGTATGGAGAGAAGCGTTCGTGTCTCCTGTCTGGACCAACGGATGCCCGCACTGCTACTGGTGGTGGCCATAGCGGGCAGGGAAGGAAGGCTACTGAAGCAAGCTCCTGGGCAACCAGGCACAGTTTTGAAGGCGTGGGGAAGCAATGTGTGTTCTCAGCATGTTTCCAGGAGCCAGCCGGTTCTTTCCTCCCAAGGCTAACTGCTGAGAAGGCAGGTCTGAGGACCACACTTCTGGCTGGAAGGCCACAGGGGATCGAGAGTTACAGGGCAGATGTATGGATCATCCTGGCAGCAAGATAAGCAGTGCTACCTGTGTGTAGGTCCCATGGCTTATGGCCAAGACTTTGGGAGTTCATTCACCCACTACAAGTGCTGGACTATGGGCTTAATGGTTTGGTAACAGAAGGACTGGCTCTCTACAAAGGGCTAAATGCATCCAGGGCTGAGACCCGAGATAACCATGTCTGGTTGGTTCTGGAGTTAGGCCGAGGAAGAAAACAATCTGAGCATGAGGTAACTAACTCAAGAGAAGTATTGGCAGGGCCATGGCCTAGTGGTATGTTTGAATGGTACTGGACTTTTACTGACTTTTACCTGTCTGTTACCTATCTGACTCACTGCTGCATTCTTGCTAAATGGATTTAACGTTCAAGGCCAGAAAAGCCAGATTAAGCTGGTCTGCTAGTACAAAGTAGATAATGTGATAAATGACAGTCCTGACAGCATCAAGGAAACAAATCCAAACATCACTGGCTTCCTCAGGATCCATATAGAAACGTTCTGTCTTGACTGAATTAACATTAGTGTTCTGGTTGTGATGCTCAAGTATAGTCTTGTAGGACAGTACCACTGACAGAAATGGTGAATCTAATAATATACTGGTTACCTTCGTCTTCTCTCACGGGAAACTAGAATTATCTCCAAAGGGGGAAGGTTACTTAAAAAACACTGGCTCCTCAGTGACTCTGGCTTCAGGAGCTATCATAACTCCCCACTTACGTATGATTCAAAAACATTTGATGCCAATTTATTTAATATGCTTAGCAGTACATTTTAATACGCTTAGTAATACCCACCAATGCTAAAGGATATGGGATTGCAATCATCACACAGGAAACATCTGAACTCGTTCTTTAATACCGTGATTATCAAGTTCAGTGTAAGCAAGAGCTCATGAAATAAACATACCTATGTAAATGAAGTATTAAATCTAATTAACAATCTCCAAGTTTTAAATTTCAACACAAGGAAATGCTTAATATTTACATTCTAAATAAATGAAATAGAAACGGCAGAGGGGAGCTGAGGATTACAAGTCCCGACCTGCAGGCTTATCTAATTCACCACTATAATTTGAGAAAGTCACAAATTCCTGGCGCCTTGACCTCCTGGTCTGTAAATATCAAAGGATAGTACCTGGCCGGTTCTTACGGGGCTGTCGAGAAGATTCAATAGCATCACAGATGTGAAAGCACTCGAAACATCATCAAGCACTACTATTCCAAAGAAAAGCAAACGGCCCTAATTATTAGGATACTCTATAATTTGAAGAGACAGAAGTCGGGGGAAGCAAGCCTCTGGAATCTTCTCATTTAAAGTCATAACAGATGACTGACCTGCTTCTTAAGATATTAAGCAAGCTGTTTCTCCGACAATTACATTTGTGAGTCAACTGGAAAAGTCAGTTCCCAGACAGTATCCCAGAGGGCCCAAGGAGGAAAATCAATAGTAGCTGCAGAAATGATCAGTGAGAAAGGATTTTGCAAAACTCAATCACCATGCAGAGAAGAAACCTTCTAATTCCAACAAAATGATTCCAGTTCATCCCATTCAAGCAGATATAAGAATGCACAAAGCCCAAAGAAGCACTTGTGGCTGGCATGAATGACTAGAAGTGAGTGTTGACATTCCTGAGTGCTGTGGCTGGCATAAATGACTAGAAGTGAGTGTTGGCATTCGGAGTACTACAGACCTGTCAGCAAGAAGCGAACTTCTGAACAAACCCACTGGGGCGTTCCCTAAAGTAATCGCCATTACATAGACTGTAGTGTCCAGTTTCCTTAGCATTATGCCCAGAATGTGCACATTTTTTTTCCAGCTACCACCACACCTTAAAGTACTTTATGTCATACCTTCTGCCAAGGATCTGTTTTACTTTCACTACTGTGCTTGAAATATTTCTTATTCTACTTTGTTTCGCTGCCAGTCCAACCACCTGAAAAAGAGCACCATGTTAATGACAATGCTTGTGACTCTTCACTATTTTTAAGAACAACCAACGAGGGTACTGGATGGTACCTGTTCACGGTCCGAGTAAGCAACGATGGCTGGTGTGACTCTGTCCCCTGCATCATTTGCAACCACATCGGCCCGGCCATCCTAAAGAAAGATGTGAGAGGGTTAGTTCTCTCACACTGAAGTACACAATCTCATTGAACATACCTGCAGGTTGTAATGGAATTTTAGAAAAGCCATTGTACCTGGCATTCACTCAGGTACCTGAGTGATGGCCATTCAGGCCTTGAAGTCATTTTCTGTAAATAATCAGTGATTGGGATTTATGGGGTTGCTCTTCCTTTGGGAATTTCAAAGCCTTTGCATGACCTCAGTACCAAGACATTCCTGGCAAACTAGGAATTTCTGCAGTGGCTGATAACTGCTTAGGTAATGGTTCCTTCAGACAACTCCTAGATCAGAGAAGACATTTTGGTACTTCGGAATTGACTTGCTAAAAGGCTTTTTTTTTTTGTAACAATCAATAAAGCACAAGATTACCAGAGTTCAGTCCTCACAGACTGCTCTACTTTGTGAAGCCTTACTACCTTCGCCAATATCTTTCTTAGATTGTCCTTCATAAATTGGTCTTTTAGCTGCCACTGTTTGTTTCTTACATTTTAATAAAAGGCTTCTATTCCATGCATTTTCCCATTTAGCTCTGCACAGTAAGCTGGATCAAATGTATACATAAATTCTATACCTAGCAAGCATGGTTACATGACTTTCCCACAAGTACAACTTTTCCCCCTGCTCCCCTACAAATGAAGTAGCTACTCCCGTGGGACTTTCCTTATTAACGAATCACATAAGGCTTAAACACAAAGCTAGCAGGGGTAAATTCCTTGGCATTGTTCCTCCTGCATCGATATTCAGGAGGAAAAAAAAAAAGCCATAGTTCCTTGTCAAGTTCTCAGTTCTAGAATCATCAAGCGTGTACATCAGTGCCAATTCTTAACTAGGTACCCTTCTCTCGAGCGCAGTTCCACAGAAATTCCAAATAACCTCCCCCCTCCGGGAACCCGTGACATCACTGTGACCTCTTAGGGACTCTGCGGTCAGTTGTCACTAGGACCTTTCTAGCATCCAGGGGGTCCTGACATCCAGGCTTGTTCCAGGCATCTTTACAAGAACGATGTTCCCTGACCCGGGGACTCTTCCAGGCATCCTGGAGTCCTGACGTCTTCTGAACTCTTCTAGGCTTCCTATGACCCAGTTTCCTAAGTGCACTCAGCAAGCTTGAGGTCTTGAGGAGGCTACTCTGGGTATCCCGTGGCCTTTTCGTCTCGAGATCTCCTCAAAGGAGACAGCAGCCCCGACGTCCAGGAGGACATCCAGGACATCCAGGACTATCCGAGATTCCGCTCTCCGCATCTACCCTCCACACAGCGTGCTTGGCCGTGGAGGGAGAACCAGGAACCCGCAACATTGCTACTTGCTTACACGCACGGTTCCCGGGCCGATGACCCGGAGCCCAGAGAATAAGAGTAGCGGCCACGAAACTCGGAGACAGCTTTCCAGTCTCACCTTGTAGACAGCTACACAGGCTGATGTGCAGCCCAGGTGCACGCCGATCGCCGCCATAAGGCGGCAGAGAGCACGGCAGCTCAACTAGGGACCACTTCAGCAGCCACAGCTAGCCTTCTCGGAACAAGCCCATCAGGCACTGCGGAGACTTCACGTTCCCGCCCGCCTACTGCGTCCGGTCTTCTGCGCCGGCCTCCTGAGTCGCAGCCAATCAGCATAAGGATTCCGCCTTTCATCAGAACGGTTAGCCAATAGTTTTAGCGCATCACTATGTATGTGCAGTTGTGCGCACGCGCAAGCCGGAAAGGCCCGGAAGAGGGTCATTAGTTCCTCCCTCTCCAAATCGCAGATCATTAGAGCCAATGGGAACTCTCTGTGAAAAGCGTCACTTGTTTCCTGCCTGCTACCGGCCTCACGAGGCAGCCTCCGCTACAATAAGGAAGGTGTGGGTAGTTCCCAGTCCCAGGCTCAGCATGCAGTTCACTAGTCCAGCTGTCCTGGTGACCTTTTGCACCGGGCTTTGGATCTCGAACCATGCGCTGGCACAGAGCCTGGAGGCCGGTGTGCGGCCGAGGGCTGACTGTGAAGGTGAGCGCTGTGTGACCTGCTTGCATGGCGGCGACACCGCGCTCAGCCTAGCAGTTACTTGAGCAGCTTCACCCCGCCCAGGCTGTAAATAACATTTCACCTAAGAAATGAGGCTCAGTCTGTAATTCTCCCCTGCCTTTCCCAGCCTAAGCAAAAGCTTGACTTGGGCCCAGTGACACTTGAAGACACGTTCTGCTTTTGCTGTCAGTATTAAGGTGGCGCAGGAAAAGGAATGAGCTGGGATTTGCCTTCGATTTTGTGTAAATGATTTCGCTGCCAACTTGATTTTGTTGCTCCTAACTGGGGAGACTTGCCTCTCTGCGCAGAAGACATATTTTGAGGTTCAAACTAATTGTCACTCCCAGAAGGTAAATGGAACATGACAGTATGATAGGGTCGCTAAACTTGAGAGGCTACAGCTGGTTAGGACTTCACAGACAAACTGCGTTACAAAGGAGCACATTAATTCCTTGAGAAGAGAAAGATAAAATAAAGAGACCCCTTTTTTCTTCTGTGGACTTGGGGATCAGAATAGCTTAATGCCACCATCCCACTTGGCTTTGAGGGTGTTATACTACCTAGGTTTTTATAAAATCTGTACTTTTCAGAGGGCTGTTAACAAGAGCCAAGATGAGGTTTGGTAGTTCCTTTGGGACCACTGTAGCCCTTACCTTCTTGTTTTGTTGAAATGATTTAAACGTGTATCTTCAGATTTTGAGAGCGGATGCACTAAACAGGAAATGGAGACGCACAAGATTCATGTGGAATGGGCGGTTGAGTGTGTAGACTTATTGTAAGTAAATAGTCTTAATAGTTGTAGTCCAGCTTTCTGTATCAGCAATTATCAAACCTTACTCTAGAAATTTAAAATAAGTATAAATGTCATTTAAAATTTCTGTAGCTAAGGATACTGGGTTTTACAGTTATAATTTCAGTTAAGGATCTCATTTTGGGCAAGTAGATGGTTCAGCTGCTAAAAGTGATTGTTCCCGAGCCTGAAAAATCTCAGTTTGGTCCCTAGCCCCCCCACATGATGGAAGGAGAAAAATGACTACTGTGACGACTAGTCCTCTGACCTCCACTCACAACCATGGTGTACTGACTCACTAAGTAAATCAATAAGTACATGACATACTTTTTAAAGATCTCACATTTCCCAACACATTCAGGCTTCATCTGTGAGGCATGTACTATAGATTCAATGAACCATCCATGTTTTTTGTAGTTTTGATCTGAAAACATTTCAGAAGAGACAGGGCATCTGGATTAATTGAGAAGCCTGTCACCTTTTCTAAATTTACTACAGCTTGCTGTGACTCTTAGCTTGCATGTCTGACTAACCCACTAAGATATTAGTGTGCTGTATACGCACATGGGCAGGGATTATCATGAACCAAGAACTAGGTTCTATACTGGGTTCTGTTACTGTATATTAGGCCTTTTATTTTATTGATTTTGTGTGTCTGGCACAACCGCCACAGTGTACGTGAGGAGGTCAGAGAACAGAATCCTTTCCTTTCGCATTGTGGGGCCTGGAACTCAAACTCCGGTTGTCAGACTTGGCAGTCAGCTCCTTTAACCCACTGAGCCACCTTAGTAGCCCTGTCTAGCACTGTTTTATTAGTCATTTAATTTCCTATCAGTGTGTAAGATCAACATACTGTATTATATTACATATACCACAGTATGTATTATACTGCATATAAGATGGTATACATATTATACTGGATATAACTCAGTATGCATTATACTGCATATAAGGCAGTATGCATATTATACTGCATATAATACAGCAGTGGTAAAACATACAGTCATGGACTACTTTTGACCCATTGATGTCTTCTGGTTTGGGGAGATTTTCAAATTACCTTTCTCCTTATTCATTTCCCTTATTCAGTCCCTGTAGGTAGTTAATTTGTAAGTCTTGTGCTTAGGTAATTTGAGTTTTTTCTGTGAAAATAAAATTTCCAGATCTCTTAAAAGGATTTTATTATAGAACTTAAAAGTATTTTGAAATCATTATAGATTGATATATAAAACTACTTCTATAAACAAAACAGAGCTGGAGAAATGGCTCAGTGGTTAAGAGCACTGACTGCTTTTCCAGAGGTTCTGAGTTCAATTCCCAGCAACCACACGGTGGCTCACAACCATCTGTAATGGAATCTGATGCCCTCTTCTGATGTGTCTAAGTAGTATACTCACATATATAAAATAAATAAATCTAATACAAAACAACAACAACAAAAAGAAAGCCCTACACCACAAATAAAAACAATGTAACCATTTGACATGACACTAATACACACACGCCAGGACCCTAGGTTACTAGCTCCAGTCATCTTTGCTGAGGTTATCAGAGACTAATCCATGGAAATCCAAAGGTTGAACTTGGGTTTCTCTGTGACTCCTGCCACTATTAGAATTTTGTTTTTCAAAAATCCCTGCGTTGATGGCTTTGACACTGCTGCTTCTCTTGTCTTTGCCTCTGTCACAGCAAACATTTTCCAGGCCACGGCTGGCTTCCGTTTTTCGTTTGTTCATTCATTCATTCATTCATTCATTTATTCATTTGTTCATTTCTTCTGTTCTTTATTTCCTTTGATACAGGGTCTCACTATGTAGCCCCAGGTGGCTTCTAACTCACTGTGAAGCAAATTGTCTTCAAGTTCACAGCGAGATCTGCCTGCCTTTGCCTCCCCAGTGCGAGGATTAAAGATGTGTGCCATCAATGCCTGGCCTAGCCATGGTGTAATTGTTGGAATTTTCCCGTGTCATGCCCTCTGTCCATATTTATTATCAGTCTGCATACAGTGCAATAAAAATCAATCTGTCTGACTGTCCAGTAAATCCTACATTTCTGTATCCACTCCACCTTCTTCCCACAGTTCTGGACATGCTTTCCATCAGGTGATTATGGAATGACTAAGCAGTCCAAAAACTTGGCATAGATAAAAAGTAATCCTCACACAGTTTATTCCTCAGGAATTTATCCCTATGCTATGAGGTCAACAAATTAGCTGGTTTGTTCTGTATATCCTTTTTCCTTTTCTCTGCCAGCCAATCACTTGTCTATTGACTCTACCTTTCCATGGATTCTCTACCTTTCTTCTTCCCCAGGTCTAATGCCTTGTTACAGACCGTCATTGTTTTTCCTTTCTATTGTCCTGGTGTCCTCTCATCATGTAGCTTGCCCCATCTCTGGGAGGGTTGTCACGTTCTCCTGCATTTAATGTCTTCCCAGTTTCCCCCATGTAGTGTCTCCCTGTCCCCCACAGTTTCTCAGAATATCCAAAAATCATTTCACTACCCACCACGCAGCTATGTACTTTTAAAAAGTCTCTCTAGATGATGTCTCTCATCCCATGGATTTAAAACTCTATTATTGCACACAGTAGGCAGATTACTGATCAAGGAGACACACACACACACACACACACACACACACACACACACAGAGAGAGAGAGAGAGAGAGAGAGAGAGAGAGAGAGAGAGAGAGAGATTGAGAGATTCATGCTGCAGCATAATTTCATGCATTTTTGGTGAGTCAAATGCCCATCTTTAAACCTAAAAGCTAGAGTTCTTGAGTTTTCCTCATTTGGATAGATGATACCTCGTCAGAATGACAGAGATGTTTAGAAGTCATCTGAGGATATGTTCGGGAAGAGATATGAGACCTCTGCAAGACTGGGTCTCTCTTATAGGAAGACAAGATGGGAGGTTGCTTAGAGACGTTGATGAATTCCTGCTCCCAGCATTGTCATGACAGCAGGTGTCTTCTTTGTAGACTTAATGTAGTTGATAGTTAAGCTGAGAAAGAGATATGTCAGAAGACATTTTTCACTCTGTTGGTGGCTCATAATGTTGGCTATTGGTTAGATGTTTTTTCGTCATTTGCATCTAGGGAGAACACTGGTCCTTTATCTTGTCTTACCTCACTGGCTGTTCCTAAGAGTCCTTTTCTGATTCTGTCTTACACTCTCAACTTCTAAACACTGGTGTTTCAGAAGGTGATTCCCCAGGCCTGTACTCTCTCCATCTCCCTTTTTTCTGTGGTCTCATCATCTGAATGTTGCTTGAATATGGTGAATTACACATTTATGTACCATCCTAGACCACATACCAGTTATCAGATTATAACCATGTGCTTCACACCAACTTTTCAGCCAACAATGGACCATGTACACAAAAATGGCTCTATGGGATTATGAAAACTTTCTACCATTCAATGATATTAAATCCCATTTTTTTTTATTTATTTTTTTTAATTTTTTTTTTTAATTTTTTTTTAAATCCCATTTTTAATCAATCGTTTGTGTTGGTTCTGGAATAAACAGACCCAGTGAGCCACCAGTCTTAGGAATGTCAGCAATATAACATGTAAAGCACACTACTTTTTGTCACAGGACCATGCCAACTGTTTATTTACCTTCAACAATCATCGCTTTGATTCTTCCTAATTCAAAAGAAAAGTAAGTGTCAAATAGCCTCAGGCAGGTTCTTTAGAAAATATTCCAGAAGAGAGTGACATCATGCTTCATGCCCTTAATCCTATCACTCAGGCGGCAGAGACAGGCTGATCTTTGTGGGTTTGAGGCCAGCCTGTTCATAACAGGGAGATCCTGTCTCAAATCAAAAATAAACAAACAACCCAAAGTATCCCGGAAGAAAATAACTTTATTATACAAGGCCAATCTATGTGTGTTGTTGCCTCTGAAAGGGTCGTAGTGGTACAAGATGAGGGACAGTGGTACAGTCATCTGGATCCTATGTGGGCTTAGGCTAATGGATGTTTTTGTGCCTTAGTGTTTTTACAAACAAGTTTTAAAAGCAAATAGATTGGTAACTTAACAAAGATTTGAAGAAGGAAAGTGCACTGCAGTATGTTCGTGTTTCAAGCTAAGTGTCATAACAAAACCATCAAACGGTTTTTTAAAAAATTAAAGAATTTGTATGGTGCAAAACTTATAGTAAGCTAAAGTTCATTTATCATGGAAAAAATATGCTATTTTTCCCCCAAAAGTTACATATAATTTAAGTGTTCGGAGCCTATAGTGTCTTCCTCAGTATTAACTATACTCTTGGCCTTCATGTTGGTTCACTCCTTTCTGTATGAACTATACTCTTGGCCTTCATATTGGTTCACCCCTTTCTGTATGAACTATACTCTTGGCCTTCATGTTGGTTCACCCCTTTCTGGATCCCCCAGCACAGCTTCTAACTCTACAGGCTCCATTCATAGTAAAGGCCACATGCAGGCACACTGTTTTATTTTAAAATTCTCTTGTTTGAAGATTTGTCTTTATTTATGTCTGTGTCTCTGTTTGCTATGCATGATATATGTGTTCAGGAACTTTCAGAGGCCAGAAGAGGGTGCCTGATCCCCTGAAACTGGAGTTTCAGGTGGTTGAGAGCCACCTGGCAGGGGTGCTGGGAACTGAACTTGGGACCTCTGGAGGAGCAGCAGGTGCTCTTAACCACTGAGCTGTTGTTCCAGCTCAGATTATTAATATCTCCTTACTGAAACTTTCTTATGTTTACATTCCTAACATTCAGTGAAACTTATCCACAGCCCTCAGTATGGTAACATTTTCTACACACAGGCACGATCACTTTGTAGCTGCAGGCTGCATATGGCTCAGGATATCTATGCGTGTAATTCAACACAAAATCATGGGACACTGTAACATTTTGTATGTCTGAGGGTTTATTTCTTGTGACTCAGTCACATGATTCTTAAGCATGAACTTTGTAGATGACAATGTAGTGTTGTAATGCCAAAAGATTGAACAGCTTATAGACTTGGAGCAAAGAGTTGTACACTATGACCTAGGCATGAATAGCAGGCGGTAGCATATAAGTTTCTGTAAGTAGCCCCTTTGATGTTCCCACAACACAGTCACCTAGCAACACATGGTAGATGGCGTCCCTGTTATTAGGAGATACATGGCTGTACTGAGAGGTTTCCTCATCTCTTCTACTTGAATTATGCATTAGTCAGAATTCTTCATAAAACAGAACCAAAATGTGTGCGTGTGCATGTGTGCACACTTGAGCGACTGTGTTAGTCTTTAACTTACGATGAGGTTACATCCCGTCATAAACTGAAAGATGGCCAAGGACGCATCACTGAGAGATGAAAGGGAAAGATGGGAAAGAGATAATAAAGACAAAAAAAAAAAAAACCTCCAACATAAGATCGTCGGATTTCCACAAGGTCAGGAGAGAGGATGCGTGCATTAGTGATGTCACTCCTTGCTGTGATAAAATTCCTGAGTAAAACAACGGAAAGATTTATTCTTCCTCCCACAGTAGGGGAGAGCATGGGCCAGGGGCCACTGAGGATCGAGTCCTCTCTCTACCACTTAACCTGCAAGTCAGGTGATGTTTCTTTGACTCAGCCTCTCTATCTGTAAAGAGAGGATAGTAAAGTATCTATGCCATAGCTTTGTTGTGAAACTTGAGTGAGTTAGAATATATGAAATGCTTGCATCAGAGCCAGCCCCTGCCAGCTCCTGCCAGCTCCTGCCAGCTCCTGCCAGCTCCTGCCA